CCGTATATGTTCGCTACCACATTCTTGTATTGAAAATGTTTATGATTTATGATTTGCAAACATTAGGGGAATTTATATCTACATTCAGATATTTCTCATGTATTTATGGTCATTTTTGTCTCATCAATAATTGTAGATAGCTTGTTGTAAATCTTTAATGATGCTTTAATGACAGCTTATACTTAGCGCTTTATTTTGGTACTTACTTCTTTAGTGTAGATATAGTGGTTAGTTTGCTAGTCGTGTTTGCCTCTTGTTTAGAAACACGTTAGCGCTCCCGTCAGTTGTATTCCCCGGCGGTCCAGGAGAGGATGCCCGCGGGCTGTATATTTAAAGGCTTTCTAGACCTCGTGTCTTCACCATCAAAACTTAGGTATCAAAACTTGATTATGGATCGCAGGTGTTCCGAAGGGACCAACGCCGTCCACAATAACCTAATGTAACAACTGCTAAATAATGCTAAAAACCTAAAACCATTGAAAAAACTCTCCCAAGTAAGCAAAGGCCAACAACCAAGTGTTAGCTACATTCTTAATATAAAAAAAACGAACTAGAGCTTAGCCACAACAGAACGGAAAACCCTAAGTCGCAACACTTTACACCAAAACTACCAACTCCACCCATAAATACAAAGCTATGCTACTACACTAGCAAAGACGGGCTTCCAGCTGTAAACCAGGCCATAAACATGGGAGGACTAGCTGGCACCAAAGCTAGACGGATGGGTCCAAAAATCAAACTAGTGGTCAAGTAGGCTTTGGAACCCACTCCCTAAACCCGAAAACTACAAATATAATCTACAGGCTCCCTGATGGCCAATCAATCTTCACTGCTGAGTTGATGGCCATCTACACCGCGCTGTACAATACTCTAAAAACAAAAAACCGAGGCTGTAATACTTATACCGATTCATTAAGTAGCTTACAAGCGCTCCAAAATTAATGTACTTAAAACAGGGGTAAACTCATAGGTAAAATTATCAGTATGATTCAAACAATTCAAAAAGATTGTTGGGGGGAGGGGGGGGGGGGGGTCATACATTTGCAAATTAACAGTTTATTAAATCATACTCCACATGTTTCTAGGTATGCCCCGAGTGCGAAATCGGCACATCCGGAAGCGCTCGTTAAATCATCTCCATCCATCATCATCATCATCATCCAGACTTCGTTATATACTGAACAGCAATGAATCTTGAAATATTACAAAAACAACTTGAGCAATGACCGATTTTGATTAGAACAGACATAGACGGATTATTAAGAAAGACGAGAAAGGAAACAGGAATACCACACAGTAATTACAATTACGTCACCAGTGTGAGGAAGACACATAGGGTTAAAATGAAACGTCAATATCTGGTATGTCCGCCATTGACAGCAACACAGGCCATGCAACGTCTTCTCATTGATCGAAATAGTCTGCGAATAGTGTTCTGGGGCATTCCACTCTTGACGTAGTGTATCTTCAAGTTCTCTCAGGTTCTGTACTTGCGGACGACGTGAGAGACGTTGACCCAGGTAATCCCATAGATGTACAATTGGCGATAGATCGGGTGACAGGGCTGGCCATGGAAGCAGAGGCACATTATTGTTCGCTAGGCACTGTGTTGAAACACGTGCTGTGTGCGCTCTTGTATTATCTTGCTGGAAGGTGTGCATATCCTGGTGCCGATGAAAGAATGGGATGACGTGATTTGCCAATATGTTATTCCTGTAGTAAAGGGCACGAACTCTTCCACGACAAACATGGAGCTCTGTTCGATGGTTATGACTGATGCCGCCCCACACCATGACACTCCGGACGTGGTGTAGTTACACGACGTTGACCCGGACGTGGTCGATCTCTGGTGGTTCTTGTCTGCTGGTATCTGCTCAGTAGCCTGAGGACTGTTGAATGATTGCATTGAAACCCTTGTGCAACGACTCTACTTGACGTACCAACTTGAAGCATGCCCAAGGCATGTTCACGTTCCTCTGCTGTTAATCTTGGCATTTCTTGTGTCAGTACCCTTTACGTCTGCAGCAACAGATGATGTGGCTTTTAAAAGTCTGTCTTTTATAGCCCTATTCTGCATGCTTCCCGTGAAACAAAACACGTTTTCCATGATGTGCACGCCATTTGTTGCGTTTTGGCGATTTCGCTCACAAAAAAATTAGGAATGTGTTTTGACGACCTGTCCTCTTCATGCTTCGTCCAGAACGTCGTATATTACTCATTCACTTATATATTTTCATATGACTTAAGCCCGGAAAAAATACATCCATTTTCGTGGTGGTGCGTTTTCAATGCTGTTCAGTATATTATCGTTCACGATTTGTCTCGCTACTGGAGTTTAGTTCAGTACAACCAAACAAAGTCGAAATCTAGATCGACATCGCTCCGACACAGAGCTATGTCGATCTAGATGCATATGTATCATGTTTGAGAGAGGCATTCAGATAAGCAAAATTTGCTTGTTTGCCAATCCCTCCACTTTATGGAAATAAATATGTTTATATCATGTCGATCTAGATTCTGACTTACTCTGGTTTAACTAATCTTAGTTTCAAGGCTTTGTAATGCTTAGTTTTGCTAGTAAACCGTGGATAACCAACTTTCCCTTGATTTCTAACCTCTTAGTAACTAGTGTTTCTAATACTCGGTTTTTGTAGCAAATCCGTGGATAACCAACTTTCCTGTGATTAAATAACTATTTGGGAACTTTAGTATTTCTGTTCAGTCAAAGTGACAGAAAGGCTAGTTGCTATTCAGACGTAATCGTCTATTTTGTAGTCTAAGTGACTTATTTTAGGGGTAAGCTCTCGGTATTTATTTCCCGTTATTTTACTCAGCCGAGGTTATTCACTCATTAGAGTGTGGAATTTATTGACTCGGGTGTTAATTGGGCGTATCCGACTTAATTGGCAGTCTACGCATCTGACCCGTCTCTTGTGCCCCATCTCCTTTTTATAGCTGTAATGCAGTATCCTCCCATTAGTCACACGTCCCGTTTGTCTGGTCTAACCTATGTTACCTAAGTATCAGAATGGAGTGATCCAAGATAAGTAGAATAGGAATCTTGTACTTTAGGTACTTACATAAAGATATTGTAGAAAAGTAAACTTGTACTTTCTTTGGGTATATTACTTGTTATAAATATAATATTGACTGCTCTCTTCTTAGGGTTTCTACTTGTAGTTCTTCTAGTGAAGAGCCTGTTGCTGCACCTGTGGCATTAGGGCTTTGTATTGTATTCTGTCGAGGCGGCTCAAGACAGAGTTTGATGCAGGGTTAAAGGCCTCACAACCATAGCCTATTTTTGATCTGATAAGTGATTTGTAGTGGTCCAGCTGTGTGTCCCTCGATGTGCCCCGAGTTGTGCCTGAAATTGCCCGTAATATGTGCAGGTCTTTTTAAATCTGTTTTGCACATATTCTACATGTTTGCGCCAAGTGAGGTGTTGATCAAGGATCACCCCTAGAATTACGGATTTTTATGATTACGGATTACGGATGTTTTCGAATTTGATTGGTTTGCTTTTTATGGCTTTGCGGCTGAAACAAACCCTGTATACCCAGGTAACATACTTAAAAAATAGATTAAAACAGCAGACCTGCAGACTCTTGTAAAATATAATAATACATTAGCAATTAATTCACCAAAGAATATCTCATTGTTTCATATATATATATATATTGTTGTAAGACAGATTAACCATACATTCAATACAGATTAGTTGCCTTTTAGTCATATCATAACATTTCACAATAACATTTGTGCTAAAACTCCAGCATGGAAATCAGTATGTATACCTTGGTCTCTGTGGTAATCCTATGTACTCCTTAGGAGTGGTCCATTACTCAGTAGGGGTTGTCTTAATTAATCCCCTCCTGGCCTCCCCCCAGGCTGTGTGACAACTGGGACATTAGAGGTGTGTGACAACTGGGACATTAGAGGTGTGTGACAACTGGGACGTGTAACTAATGGGAGATAACCTGTAATACAGTTGTTTGGTTAAAACTTGGTTGTATATTTGGGCTGATAGAATTAATTTGTGATCTGTATGAGCACAGATCGGATTTATCTTTAATTGTCAACTACTAGTACAATTAGTAGTTATTTAAAGGGGCACTAATCTCTGGCTTCTTCTCGGCTGTCTGACACTGGCCGCTGGGGCTAACTAGCTGCCGTGAGTCGATTTGCTCGCTAACGCAACTGAGCGTGACAATAGACTGGGCTCCCGTCTGTAAAGGCTTGGAGCGTAAATAAACTTGGAGGCAATATTTGTTTTACGCATTTTTGAACACTCCCAGCTAACACATAACATTTTCAAAAAAGTTTCATTGTAGTTTTTCAAAATCTTTTTCGTCAAAACATTTGATCAACGTTTTAGAATAATTATTCAAAATGTTATTGAAATGGTTTTAAAATGGTTTTCAAGAACATCATGCCATAACATAGCCGAAACTATTTCACTGTTATTACAATGTGTTCAACACATTGCAGAAATTTTATGTCAGAAAGTATTTCATGAAATGTTATTGAAAAGTTTTTAAAATGTTATTCAAGAACATCATGCTGTAACATAGGTGAAACTGTTTCATAACATGTTTTTGCAATGTTTTCAACACATTGCAGAAATGTTATGCTAGAACATATTTTCATGAAATGTTATCGCCATGTATTAAAGTGAGTACCGATTACGTGGCTGTGGACTGGTAATGCAGTAATAGAACATTTTCACAACAGTTACAGTTTAATCTGTAGGCTAAATGTCTAAAGAAAATATAGCAGATATGAGTAAGACAAAACTTCACATGATTTGTTTGTTGCTGATCACAGATAGTGTCACAGGCAATTACATTTAGTCGCGCATATTTTGCGGGGGCGTGAGAGAGATCGTTGAGAAGTGAATAAATATAGACCTATGGTCAAAGACGCATTCTCTCACATTTAATTATTTTTCATGACTAGTTATTAAAATGTTTTAAAACGTTTTTGAAAATTTATCACAAAAATAAATGTTTTTGACATGTTCTTAAAACGTTTGTAAAAACTGTTATCACACAAACGTTTCGAAAACAATTTTAAAATGTTATGACAAAATACCTTATTGTCTCATGAAATGACGTCACACACGTCATATTTTGCACCCGCCATCATCAGTTCAAGTTTATTCTACATCCAAGTGACATTGTGCAGCAAGAGCTGGATTGTCGAACTCTGTTTTCTTAGGGGGTAAGTTCATTTTCAAAAGCAGTATCCGCTTATCTAAGCAGTATCTAAATGGCATTGTGTTAATATAACATTTGTTACATTTGACCACTTTCTAAATGGCATTGTGTATTCATAGCTTTCGGCCATGGGAGCCATGCCAATTTACATTTGTCAGAGGGGTACACAAAGTACGTGATCTCGGGGTGCTTTGCAAAGCGCGAATCGCTTGTAAGCTATGTACAGCGATTCGCCTTACAACAGTGCGCTAATTTTCAGCCGCTTGCAAGCGAAACAACTGCTGGCTGAGGTCGCTTCGTTCTCAAACCAAAATGGCGGCTGCCTTTGACAGCTGAGCAAGAAATTCTTGTCTGGATCAACGAGGAAATGAGCAAAGGTAGCTAACACCCCATCATCCTCAGTCTGCTCCAAATCTTCAAAGTAGTCATAAATTTCATCAGCTCATCATCGAGCCTCTTTTATTACGTTCTTCTACGTCAAGGCAAACAAGCGGTAGTTGCGCCACCATTTTGGAAGAGTGAGCATGGGCTTCGAACTGTTGCAGCGATTAATTTGCTTTCTCTTAGCGATTCGTGGCTTACAACGCGCCACTACACTACCAGTTGTCGGATTTTCATTTTTGTGGAAGCCTCGGTGGCTGATGGGGTTAGACAATAACATTCCCGAAAGCCTAACAACTGCACCACACACCAACCAACACATTACGCAATGATCGAAGTGAAAACTTCAATGTGCATATGCGGAAATTATATTCCCTTATGTACTTGAACAATCATCAAATTCCCAATAGCAATGAATGACTTTTACCCGTGTTGAATGCAGAGTGTAGCGTGTAGGGTACAGCGTATTCCAGAGGTCAGCCTGTGGCATATCATATTGTGTAGAAATACAGATATACACTGTTGTACTTAAGTTGGCATATACAACCAGGTGTTTCTCACGGCCTCGTTATGTTAATGTCATGGTTTGTTTGATACCAAGTTCTTTTCAAACATGATCTGTGGTTGCAATCTATTGTTAGTAATAGTCGCATTATTAAATGTGGCATCGTTCACAATGCATAAACGCCCTGGTGTGAACAACCATGTGCATGGACTTGCACACCTCTTGATATTTGTTGAATACAGTACAGAACACGTTTTATGTCTTACCAACTGCACCTGTCACCCACACGCACAACAGTCAAAGATTGATGTGACGGGACTAAAGAAGAGAATGTGATCATACAACCAGAAACTCGTAATTAAATTCATATCATCAATGAAGACCTTCAAAACATTCACAAAGGACGTTTGCAAGTGGCACTTTAGTATTCATAGCCCATGTCAGCCTGTATGTATATGGGCAGGCCCATGGGCGACATAGTTCAGATTTCGAGATTTCGAAACATTTTTTTTTCCTTAGTGTGGACCACTGATGGTCCCAATGAAATCAGCAAAGATGAATTTTTGTAAATGCCTTTGACCGAAACTGGCCACAGCATGGACCGTTTCTGGACAAATGAGTTTCCAGAATTAAAATAATGTTATGAACCTACATAATATATTTCATCTTTGGATTAACAATATAATGCTTATTGAACATAGTTCAAGATATAACTTTGTTATAATGTGGAACATTTTTGTTTTCGCTGCAGCCAGTGGCAAAAGAATACAACAGCATTCCAGGAAATACACACGGAAATATTAGGTGTATTGAGGACTACACCAAATACACCAGGGGCTGTGAATGATGCAAACGTAAGTGCAGAAACTGTTGTGAAATACCATGAGCTACTTGATCAAGTATCTTTTGGTGGTTTTGTGGCTTTAAAATTAATGCTAAGAATTGGATTTGTATCTGCACTCAGCCATTGACCGTAAAGTGGGTTGGGGTGTATTCAATGTGATGCATGATACTGTTATATATATACACATGCACAAAAGTTAAGCGCCACCCCCCCATATTTGTGAGCTGTTACTTTTGGCACTTATTTATGACTATTATAACGAGATGTACGATTGTTATAAGCCGTATATGTAAACCTCATGTGATGCAAAAGTTGTCCCAAAGCAAGTTTATCTTGTGTTCCAAAAGAATATGAGCAGAAAGGAATTTTACTGAAGACCAGAAGTTGAAGGATCAGAAAACATTGAAAAACTTTTTTTGTCATGTAACTGTCATGATATCAGCAGACCATATCAGGTGTCACATAGACACCCTAGTGAGTGCAGAGTATATTGCAAGACAGTAACGTGTGTATGATCCCCGGACATTGACCACAGCTTCAACCCTACGCCTCATACTCATTACAAGCTGTTGAATGCTTCTCTGAGGCAAACGGATCCATTCTTCATGAAGTGCGGCTTCAAGTCCAGCGAGATTTGTAACTGGGGGATCACGATGTCTGCTTTTCCGGCCAAGAATGTCCCAGAGATGCTCAATCGGATTTAGATCCGGCAATAGCTTCTTGACGCAAATAAGCCAAAACTGCCCGAGATCTGTGTGGTCTAGCATTGTCGTCCATGTAAACAGGTCCATGTAAACAGGTCCTGTCTGAAGAGGATGGTTGTCAAAATGAGGGACTACCACTGGACGAAGAACGGCATCTTGGTATTGTTGGCCATTCAGGTTTCCACGAATTGTCACCAGCGGAAGTTTGCAGCCGAAGGAAACATAACCCCATATCATGACAGACCCCCCCCCCCCCCGCCACATGCTAAGGTCTTCTGGTTGTTCCTTGGTGCAAAACGAGTGTTACGTTCCCTCCAAACACGTATTCAACCATCGTTCGTAGCAGCATTCGACACTCGTCAGACCAATGGATCCTTCTCCTGTTGGCCAAGTTCCATCGACTACGGGCACGACACCATATCAGACGATTCCGCATGTGCCTCTCAGTCAGTTGAGGACGTTTTACTGGTCTTCTGGCGTTATAACCAGCCGCTCTGAGGAGACGCCTTACGGTCATCGTCGAGAGTCTCTTATCGGTAATCCACTGCCAATCCAAGTAATCCAAGGTCTTTCTTGGCCAACCAGACCTATGTCTGTCATTGACATCATTGGTTTGACCATGTTTGACAATCATACGAGTGATAACACTTTGATGACGACCCATTTGTCTTGCAATGGCCCTGCATGACATGCCAGCATTTTTCATGCCTATGACTTGCCATCTTTCAGCGTTCGTTAACTTTCTCCTCACCATGGCTGATTTTCAACCTCTATTGGAAGGGGAATCTCACACAGGAGCAAAATGCAACCACGTGTCTGAAACTTGAATTTCACTATTTATAGGGTAAGGGAACTGCAGCAACACGTAAAGCACGCTTTCCTTGTGGTATCTGGACAAATTTGGGTTCATGAAACTATGGAAGCCTATTTCAGTCATACAGCATCATATTTCGTATTTCTGATTTCCACAGTTAAATCAAGAGACTATGAATATGGTGGCGCTTAACCTTTGTGCATGTGTATATATTAAATACCTGCTTTAGATTTTTTCAGAATTTGTTTTATGTTTCAGAAAAATGGATCAAAGCAAAATCAAAGAAAGAAGATTCTGACAATCAATAATTTAGAAAGTTGTAAAAGTTTTCTAAAAATATTAAAATCTCCACAGAAATGAGTCTTGAAGTTCTTTGTTGATTAAATGTATCTTGTTAACAGTGACTGGGTGTTGTACGTTTTGAACATTGGCAGCAAAACACAGCTTTACCAACACTCTGGTTCGTTTTCAAAACATTTCCGAAACGTGTTTTACGGATGTTTTTATAACAGTTTCGTGTTAGCTGGGCTGATTGGTTACCCGTGATCTATAAAGATTTTGACAAAGGGCGCATGTTGATTAATTTCTTCAACCTAAACAAACAGACAAAAAGAACGGCGGAAGCTCATCGGATGTCGTCATTTGGAAATACCCCTGATGGTTATAGTTAAATAATATATAAAAAGCATCCCAGCAGTGAAAGTATTTTCGTATTTCGGATTGCGTGGATAATAGATTACTACTCTCTTGTTGCCATCCGTGTTTTCTGGTATACTCTACACTTGAGTATTTGTCGTTATTCACTTGCTGCTCAGTTAATGAATTTATTACAGGTATAATCAGTGATAAAGGTTCCCATTTGGCATTTCTTGTGTCTGGGATAATTACTCAATCAAAATCCAGGTTTGAAGTGAGGTGAAATGTGTTTATGTAATGTGCACGTGGCAGCCCAGCAAGAGATGAATGATCAGTTAATATACTTTTTTGTAAATCAACGGATCATTCCTAGCCATCAATGGATTAACAGAAAATACGTTGATTGATTAATCACTGTTACCATGCACAGTGGATATGTCAAACGTAAGTGTTTACATGTCTAGGTTTGGTAAAGCAAAGGGAATACACTCATATCATGGCGTGAAGTGCCGATGTAAAAACAACATACTTTGTTAAAGGGTTAACCGATAATACGTTGATTAATTGCTCATTGTTATCTAACTCAATGTATTTTTTTAAGAACCGTGGACATAATGAAAATAGTTGTCACTCGGGCTTTCTCAGCTGACCTTTGAGACTTGACACCGATATGAAACACCTGAAACAAACCAAGTGATCAGTTGAGAAAAAGAAGATATTTTATTATAGTGTCACCCGCTGTACATATAAAATGACATGGCAAGAATGTAAAAATTCAGCGGCCGGCCAAAATGGCCTACGAGACACTAAAAGACTCATAGAAACAATATTTTATATGTGTACACACCACATTTAATAGTAATTATGAAAATAACATTCATAATATTATCCCCCATACAAACATCCTATATACACACACAACCACACCCATTCCCACATCCAGGCCTTCACTCACAGCAGCTTACGCAAACCACGCAAACACACCCGCACATTCAGACACACCCAAACCCTCATTGACACCCGTTCAATCACATCCGAACCCTCCCTCGAACCCTCACCGTCACACATTACCCTCACGCACACCCTATTTCTTAAACACACCCTCACCTGTATCCATTCCTGCATCCACACCAACTCCCTCATCCGCACCATCAACCACGTCCTCACTCGCATCCACATCCCTCCCCGCCTCCACAAAAAAGAAGCACCAGCCACGCACAAAGGCACCAACAAAGTAACAATCCACAGCCGCATACACACACTCCCTCCCAACAGATTTACAGACGCGTTCAGAAACAGGGGTTTTCGGGCGTGTATTACGACCTCTTTCTAATTCTAAGGGTAAAGTTCCACATCGAAGTTTAGCTAAAGTGCTTCGTCGTGAGCGTGATCGTATATATATATCATGTTGGCATAATATGACCCTGTTCGTTATTCAATTGTTACAGAGACATGTGACATCGAATAAGTTTCTTTGTACAGCTGCAGACGTGCGGGATATTGTTCCTTTATGTGGATATTCAGGGATACATTCCTCGAATAAGGAAGCTGCCTAAAATTATACATATAAATTTGGTAGGTTGTTATTATGATATTTGCATTTTGTTTTCCTTCATTTGCTGTGGCATTGAACAGATTCATTCTTGTTCCTCTTCGTCTTGGTTGGGAAGTTCTTCGAAGCGCGATTCACGTTGTTTTCACAAGTCTTTTCCTTTGTAAGCGTGTATATAGTTGTTAAATGATAAAGAACCCGAGAAAGAAGGATTTGTGCCAAATATTGAATGTTTCTTTAACTTTTATAAAAATTTAAATGATTCTGGAAATGCTTATGTTGAGGATTTGGATGAAACCACAACTGATGATACAGTAGATGAAGATATGTATGATACGGAAGTTCTTAATAAAGATATAACTGAGGAAGAAGTAAAAAATGCTATTAAAAATTTAAAAAGAAATAAGGCCTCGGGAATAGACCTTATCGAAAACGATTATTTCAAAGATGCAGCGAACATACTGACGCCTATTCTAACCTCGCTTTTTAATCTAGTGCTAACCTCAGGATACATCCCAGAATCCTGGCTCAGTGGTATTATTCGACCTATCTATAAGAAAAATGGCGATAAAACCAATCCAAATTCGTATAGACCAATAACGATCCTGAGTTGCTTGGGTAATTGTTCACAAGTATTCTGAATGAAAGACTAACGTTATTTACAGAAATTAACAATATCCTTACACCAGCACAAGCAGGATTTAGAAAGGGTTTTTCAACAATCGATAATATGTTCATTATGAATATAAGTTTAGAGATACTAAAATTATCAAAACGGAAACTTTATTGCGTGTTTATCGACTTTACTAAAGCATTTGACACGGTATGGCGTACAGGGCTGTGGTACAAAATGATACGATGTGGAATTAAGGGCAAATTCGTAACACTTGTTAAAAACATGTATCATAATGTCAAATCATCTGTTATTGCTGGATATGAAATGTCGCCATTCTTTCAGTGTAGAAAAGGTGTTAGACAAGGTGAAAACCTATCACCATTATTGTTCTCTATTTTCATAAATGATCTTGAATCTTCCCTTTTCGGAAATGGATGTACGGGTGTGAAAATTGAATATGCAAATGATGATGACATTAATCTCTGGTTACATTTGATTGTGCTGTTATATGCCGATGACGCGGTTATCTTCAGTGAATCACCTGAAGAATTGCAGAACTCATTGATTGCACCCTTAAAGCATTTGATGCTATGATAAGTCCGATTCTGCTTCACGGCTGTGAAATATGGGGATTTGAAAAATTAAATCTTGTTGAAAAAATACATCTTAAATTTATTAAACTTGCTGTTGGTCTTCGAAGTTCGACTCCAAACTTTATGGTGTATGGTGAGTTTGGCCGAGAACCGCTATATATCAAAGTATACAAACAGGTTATCTCATTTTGGCATAAATTAGCAACAAATAATCAACACTGTCAATATTCCTCATTGCTATATAGTATTATTTCTGTTAACGATGTAAGCTGTCATCCTCGATGGATATGTTTAGTTAAAAAATACTTAACGATTGTGGTTTATCAAATGTTTTTTCAAACCCACACTATTTCTCTACGTCATGGCTGATTTTAAAGGTTGAGACTATTCTAAAAGATCAGTTTTTACAACATTGGCGTAGCTCAATAGAAAGCAGTTTAAAAGGTCAATTCTATAAATGTTTTAAATATAATCTATGTTTTGAAAATTACCTATATTTACCAAAAGACATATATTTTCCTATATTAAAACTAAGAACCAGTAACCATAATCTACCTATTTAAACCGGCCGATGGCATTCTATACCAAAAGAAGAAAGATTATGTAAACTATGTAATGCTAATGCTGATGGAGATGAATTTCACTATCTCTTCTGGTGTGAAGCCCTTCTCCAGCACCGAAATAATTACCTCTCGATACAAATATGTGATTTCCAAAATTATCCAATGATTAGAAAACTCTTTTGTAATAAAACCACGAAGGATTTAAAGAATCGTAAGTCATATCTGAATATATTATATAATTTGTTAAGGTAATATTCATATTATCCTGTCCCGTCACTTGCCATGTATATATTTGTTAAATATAGGTACCACCGTTGGTTGGTTGAGTAATAAAATGTTCTGTATGTCTGTCTTTGTAAGTGTGTATATATTACAGCCAATTTGTAAAATGTGATTCTCTCAGGCAATTTATAAAATGTCTAAATATTTCATTCATTTTGACTGAAATGCTGTCCATTTATTTAAATGATTTAGACGGTCAAAAGGGCTTTAGAGCACCAAAATAGATTATTTATGCTAGGATTAGAAGCCAAACAATATAGAAATGTACTTTTAATCCTAACATTTTCAGTCTCTTGAAACATAAAAAAATGTTTGGAATTCGTTATCATATCAATACAGATTAACATATTTTTCGGTCAATTTATGAAATAACTGAATATAATAAGTGAATAAAGAATATATATATATATATATATATATATATATATATATGTGAAAAACTTGCAAATTTTGACTGTAAAAATATAAACACGTTAAAATAAGCAATGCTCACATGAAATATTTACTTTGTTGAGCCGTTGAGCACCCGTGTCACATGCGTGGTACACTCGTTTTTAACGTGTGTAAGGAGGAATGAACTTTTAGGCAGTAGTGTACTTTGTTTTATGCCAAGGACGGACACCTGTGAATCTATTATCACGTTTTCTTTATCCCTTTGTTCTTATTTGATCCTCATAAAACACCGTGACACTGATTCATACAAGTTACTTAATTAAGACCGAGAGAGTCAGTGAATTGGGGTAAGCTTTAACGCCGCTTTAAACGTTAGCTTAATGTGCACCAGAGAAAATGCTCCACACATTGTACCGATGTGGGGAATCGAACCCGGTTTCGGTGTGACGAGCGAACGCTTTAACCACTAGACTACCGCATTAAATATTAGAGACTGTGTTCCGGAGCTTGATGCCAATTTCTAGTGATGTAACTAGTACCTTTCTAATATTCAAGGAGGGTAAAGAGGAATTATTGACTGATACAGATTGCAATGCTTCTTAATGCAGAAGTGAATGGAGTCATGTGATCGTCACTTGTTAATCTCGTGATTACCAATTGTGGAACGTGTTGTGGATTAGGATTTGCGTAGAGCGTTTTTTTGTTTGACTGGTGTTATAAAATGAGGGACAGACATCAAGAGCGTTTATTCCAGCTCCAAGTGCACGTCAAACATTATTGACTGAGTTTATTCAGATATGATTTTCCTATTTCGTATTATCTTCTATGAAGTTAAATATGTTGGTAATTTATGTCATGTGCACCAAATTCCATTCACCAAATCAATGTTCATCGCGCTACATGATTACCTGGGTCACAGTAACAGTGTGCTACATGATTACCTGGGTCACAGGAACAGTGTGCTACATGATTACCTGGGTCACAGGATCAGTGTGCTATATGATTACCTGGGTCAATGTTCATCGCGCTACATGATTACCTGGGTCAATGTTCATCGCGCTACATTATTACCTGCACTCAATGTTCATTGCGCTACATGATTACCTGGGTCAATGTTCATCGCGCTACATGATTACCTGGGTCAATGTTCATCGCGCTACATGATTACCTGGGTCAATGTTCATCGCGCTACATGATTACCTGCACTCAATGTTCATCGCGCTACATTATTACCTGCACTCAATTTTCATCGTGCTACATTATTACCTGCACTCAATGTTCATCGCGTTACATTATTACCTGCACTCAATGTTCATCGCGCTACATTATTACCTACACTCAATGTTCATCGCGTTACATTATTACCTGCACTCAATGTTCATCGCGCTACATTATTACCTGCACTCAATGTTCCTCGCGCTACATTATTACCTGCACTCAATGTTCATCGCGCTACATTATTACCTGCACTCAATGTTCCTCGCGCTACATTATTACCTGCACTCAATGTTCATCGCGCTACATTATTACCTGCACTCAATGTTCATCGCGCTACATTATTACCTACACTCAATGTTCATCGCGCTACATTATTACCTGCACTCAATGTTCATCGCGCTACATTATTACCTGCACTCAATGTTCATCGCGCTACATTATTACCTGCACTCAATGTTCATCGCGCTACGTTATTACCTGCACTCAATGTTCATCGCGCTACATTATTACCTGGGTCAAAGGATCAGTGTGCTCTCAATGTTCATCGCGCTACATTATTACCTGGGTCAAAGGATCAGTGTGCACTCAATGTTCATCGCGCTACATCATTACCTGGGTCAAAGGATCAGTGTGCACTCAATGTTCATCGCGCTACATGATTTTCTGGGTCAAAGGATCAGTGTGCACTCAATGTTCATCGCGCTACATGATTACCTGGGTCAAAGGATCAGTGTGCACTCAATGTTCATCGCGCTACATGATTACCTGGGTCAAAGGATCAGTGTGCACTCAATGTTCATCGCGCTACATGATTACCTGGGTCAAAGGATCAGTGTGCACTCAATGTTCGTCGCGCTACATGATTACCTGGGTCAAAGGATCAGTGTGCACTCAATGTTCATCGCGCTACATGATTACCTGGGTCAAAGGATCAGTGTGCACTCAATGTTCATCGCGCTACATGATTACCTGGGTCAAAGGATCAGTGTGCTCTCAATGTTCATCGCGCTACATTATTACCTGGGTCAAAGGATCAGTGTGCACTCAATGTTCATCGCGCTACATTATTACCTGGGTCAAAGGATCAGTGTGCACTCAATTTTCATCCTCAGCTCCCTGAAGAATATACAATTGACCGGAGTTCATTTCCCTTGAATCACAAGCGATTGCCAGTCTCTGTTTTAGGACGCTGTTATTTATGTATGTCTACATTGAGTGAACCATCTACACGGAGGACGCTTAATCCTTTCGCCCATAACCGTCGCGCATGAATAAAAGATGGTTGTCATTGGCGTTGGTGAGACGTGATGACAGTTCCCTATAACTGATCGACAGCGCTGTATTGCTGACAGTACTACATTTGTATATATTTAACACAAGGTAACGCCGCGCTCAGTAATTTACCTTCCTATTGATGTCGTGAAGCACACATGTGTAACACAGAAGATAAAACAAATTGTAATTTGCATGTGGTACCTTCAGAATCAGGAATGAGAATATGGCACGATTCAGTTTAAGTTGGGTGAGGTGAAAATTGGTTTAACGTCACGTCCAAGACGTGTGCGTGTGTGTGCGTGTGTGCGTGTGTGCGTGCGTGCGTGAGTGCGTGTGTGTGTGTGTGTGTGTGTGCGTGTGTGTGTGCGTGTGTGTGTGTGGCTGCTTGTCCTAGTCTGGACTGATGCCTATTTATAGTGCTAGCCCACTGAGATACCATGCCGCAGTTTAACATGAATACCTCACTCAGACACAGTATACTGACTCCGAGACGACCAGTCCTTGCTTTAGCTCCTTAATGCCGAGCGCCAGACAGGATAACAACAAGTACCATCTTTTAACGTCTTTTGGTATGACGCGGGCGGAGATCAAACCCTGAACCTTCCGCACTACGGGCAGACGCTCTTCCACTAGACCACGGAGGCGCGATTCAGTTTAAATATTTATGTAATTATTATATAAAAGAAGAGAAGAAACATATTATGAAAACAAAACAGGTAATATATTTTCACAATATGAGATACGGACCCCAATGGTAATATGTTTACTCCTGTAGCCTGTAGCAAACCCGCTTTACGGAAATGGGTCAACATTTCACCGCACGGAAATGCTGTGTGGGAAAATCGGTCGGATAGAGCTAGACTGGTACCACGCCCATCGCATCATAGCGGTTGCATGCTCTAGGGTAAACCAGTTTAGGACAGGACGTGTCTCTCTCTTATGATTGTTGCCGAATATCAGAAACATGTTTACTAATAATTTACAGTTAGGAATGTTTATAAAAGTATTTTCATAATTACTTAAATATATTGTATGCACGCATATCATTTTACACAGTGAGACAAAGATCAAGTTTCTCTTAATAGTTCGGTTACATCTTTCAAACGATTACTCATCCCCATGCTCCATGTAGCGAGATCAGTGGAGACATGCAGATATTCTTAAAATTTTACACCCGCAACGTTGTGTGTGTGTGTGTATATTTATTACATAACCATGAACTGTACTTCCCTAGAAGAGTTACCTCCCAAATGCTAAGCATACTGTACGTTTAGTCCTGTACATGTAGTCTGACAATTATTCAGGCTGTCCTACACGCCAGCTGTGTCAACGTTTCCCGCCTTTCCCCGAGACAGACTCTGTCTCCCTTCAATTACTGTCCGCGACAAGCATTATCGTTTTATGTGAAATATTTTACAGTTATGTTTGTATTAAAACATATTCACACAATTATTTATGTATTTCGTATGTCACATACTTCTATACGTGAGTGAGACAAGGAGAAAGTTTCTTTTAAAATTTTGTTTACATCCTTCCCACGTTTACTCATCCCCATGTAATGTTCTTCCTTTCAATCCTTTTCCGCAACAAACTCAAACGTTTTTAGTGTAATAATTTACAGTTATGCTTTTTTAAAGAAATATTCTCATAACTATTTGTGTATTTCATATGTGTACCATTATACATGTGAGAGACAAAGATAAAGTTTTAAAGGTCTTTCCAAGGATTACTCGTCCCCATGTCCCCCATGTCCCCAATGTTTCCCATGTCCCCATGTCTCCCATGTCCCCAATGTCCCCCATGTCCCCTGTCCATATGTCCCCCATGTCGCTTGGCCCGATGTTCCATGTCCCCCATGTCTCCATGTTCCATGTCCCCCATGTCCCCAATGTTTCCCATGTCCCCATGTCTCCCATGTCCCCAATGCCCCCCATGTCCCCTGTCCATATGTCCCCCATGTCGCTTGGCCCGATGTTCCATGTCCCCCATGTCTCCATGTTCCATGTCCCCCATGTCCCCAATGTTTCCCATGTCCCCATGTCTCCAACGTCCCCAATGCCCCCCATGTCCCCTGTCCATATGTCCCCCATGTCGCTTGGCCCGATGTTCCATGTCCCCCATGTCCCGATGTTCCATGTCCCCACAGTCTCCATGTTCCCCATGTCCCCATGTTCCATGTCCCCCATGTCCCCATGTCCCCATGTCCCCCATGTCTCCATGTCCCCATGTTCCATGTCCCCCATGTCCCCATGTTCCATGTCCCCCATGTCCCCATATTCCCATGTTTCATGTCCCCATGTTCCCATGTCCCCATGTCCCCATGTTCCATGTCCCCCATGTCCCCATGTCCCCCATGTCCCCATGTCCCCATGTTCCATGTCCCCATGTTCCATGTCCCCCATGTCCCCATGTTCCATGTCCCCCGTGTCCCATATTCCATGTCCCCATGTTCTATGTCCCCCATGTCCCATGTCCCTATGTTCCATGTCCCCATTGTCTACCATGTCCCCATGTCCCCCATGTTCCATGTCCCCATTGTCCCCAATGTTCCATGTCCCATGCCCCCCCATGTCAGCCATGTCCCCATGTCCCCCATGTCCCCTGTCCCTTGTCCCCCATGTCCCCATGTCCCCCATGCCCCCCATGTCCCTTGTCCCCCATGTACCCCATGGTCCCTGTCCCCATGTCCCCCATGGTCCCTGTCCCCATGTCCCCCATGTCCCCCCTGTCCCCTGTCCCAATGTCCCATGTCCCCCATGGTCCCTGTCCCCATGTCCCCCATGTCCCCCATTACCCCTGTCCCCATGTCCCCCATGTCCCCTGTCCCATGTCCCCATGTCCCCTGTCCCCTGTCCCATGTCCCATGTTCCATGTCCCCATGTCCCCATGTCCCCTGTCCCATGTCCCATGTTCCATGTCCCCATGTCCCCATGTCCCATGTCCCCATCTCCCCATGTCCCCTGTCCCATGTCCCATGTCCCATGTCCCATGTTCCATGTCCCCATGTCCCAATGTCCCCTGTCCCCCATGTCCCATGTCTCCCATGTACCCCATGTCCCCTGTCCCCCATGTCCCATGTCTCCCATGTACCCCATGTCCCCATGTCAGCCGTTTCCCAGGTCTCCCATGTCCCCATGTCCCCTGTCCCTATGTCCCCCGTGTCCCCATGTCCCCCGTGTCCCCATGTACCCATGTCCCATGTTCCATTTCCCCTGTCCCATGTCCCATGTCCCCCGTCCCAGTCCCATGTCCCATGTCCCCATGTCCCCATGTCCCCTGTCCCCATGTCCCCATGTCCCCTGTCCCCCATGTCCCATGTCTCCCATGTACCCCATGTCCCCATGTCAGCCGTTTCCCAGGTCTCCCATGTCCCTATGTCCCCTGTCCCTATGTCCCCCGTGTCCCCATGTCCCCCGTGTCCCCATGTACCCATGTCCCATGTTCCATTTCCCCTGTCCCATGTCCCATGTCCCCCGTCCCAGTCCCATGTCCCATGTCCCCATGTCCCCATGTCCCCTGTCCCCTTCCCATGTCCCATGTTCCATGTCCCCATGTCCCCTGTCCCCATGTCCCCATGTCCCCTGTCCCCCATGTCCCATGTCTCCCATGTACCCCATGTCCCCATGTCAGCCGTTTCCCAGGTCTCCCATGTCCCCATGTCCCCTGTCCCTATGTCCCCCGTGTCCCCATGTCCCTCGTGTCCCCATGTCCCCATGTCCCCATGTCAGCCGTGTCCCATGGTCTCCCATGTCCCCTGTCCCCCATGTCCCCCATGTCCCCTGTCCCCCATGTCCCAAGGTCTCCCATGTCCCCATGTCCCCTGTCCCATGTCCCCCATGTCCCCTGTCCCCATGTCCCCTGTCCCCCATGTCACAAGGTCTCCCATGTCCCCCATGTCCCATGTCCCCCATGTACGCGAGTTCTCTCGAGATAGTCTACCAACAGACTGGGTTCCACGCACAAAATGGAGGGCAAACAATGAATACACTCATGTTTGTTGGTGGTTAAAAATTAAACAAACAAGAAACGATTATTCCATGGTGATGTATTCGTTGTGTTTTGGGCCTTAAGTTGGGAGTGTCTGGTCGGATGTTTTCAGCCTAGTAACGTTCTGATAACGTTTGTAAAGTTTTGGTCAATCCAATTTTTCAAGTGTATACTCTCTTTGTCAGGCAGTTTAGAATCTTAGTGTGCAGAACTACTAATTATATTACTACTCATGAAAACCACGAGAAGCAGTTTGCTACAGACCCTTACATCTCTTTTGAATGCATTCTGGTTCCAGTTTAGAATCAGGACCAAAAAAGGCCTTAGTACAATCGCATTCGGCTAACGGGACATTCAAACACCTGGTGTTCCCATTATTTTGCATGATAACCCAGATAGCGGAATATCATTCAGACATGTAGAAATGTAATATAGTGTCATGTACGTGCATGAAACATGTGGTATAATGTGATGTCTCTATTTCGCAATGATTTTGAAGGGACATTTTATATGACTATTTTGTATGACTATCACGCCTATAGAATTACCCCATACTCATTACATTTCTCCGCTCGATTAGCTGTAAAAGTTATAACTGCAATTACCGCAGCGTTAGCAATATGAACTCGGTCGATCACTCTGACAGCTTGAGAGGATGTTGATTCGTTTCTAATGGAAACCATCAGTTTAACATGCTTTTTGTTTTTTTGTTTTTTTGTTGTTTAACGCCACACTCAGCAATATTCCAGCTATATGACGGCGGTCTGTAAATAATCGAGTCTGAACAATACAATCCAGTGACTGGCAATATTGATCTACGCAATTGGGATACGATGACATGCATCAACAAAGTCAGCGAGCCTGACCACCCGATCCCGTTAGTCGCCTCTTACGACAAGCATGGTTTGCTGAAGACCTATTCTACCCTGGATCTCCCGGGTCTCACCCAGCTTGAATTATCCCAGTCCCTACCCCCGGGAATACAATGTACCCCATACTTATGGATCTGGTGGGTGCATGATATAAGATGTGACCCGGACGATTGAGGGTCATCGTGCCCCGAGGGCGAGTGTCAAAGCTTGTGCAGTTATCTAGTGGTTTGCCTGGCCCTCACTCGTAGATCGTGTGCAGGTCGCCATTGTACAACTTGAACATTGCTGCTTGCCGTATGGTGGCCGAGAGGGGACATCGCTTTATCGCCTTCAGATGTTGTCGCGAGGAAGCGATAACATTGGTTGGTTGGTTTGTTGTTTAACGCCGCACTCCAGCTATATGACGGCGGTCTGTAAATAATCGAGTCTGGACCAGACAATCCAGTGATTAATATCATGAGCATCGATCCACGCAATTGGGATCGATGACATGCATTAACCAAGTCAGCGAGCCTGACCACCCGATCCCGTTAGTCGCCTTTTACGACAAGCATATTCGCCTTTTACGGCAAGCATGGGTTGCTGAAGATCCATTCAACCCCGGATCTTCACGGCTCGAAGCGATGACACGAGACGAGAAAGCGATATACATTTCTCGTCTCGTGCTATCGCTTTTTCGTCTCGTGCTGTGCTTTCTCGTCGCGTGTTATCGCCGTGTCGCTTTCTCGCGGCCGTATTTGAAGGAGAGAAAGAGATGTCCCCTACCATTCACCATACAACTGTGTCCGAATGTGCTGAATATCAATGGACATCTAAGCACTGCCCACGTTCGTCGCATCTGGTGCAAATATCATGGACGTTATAATCACAATTGAGGCACAATAACTTAATTTATTTCAATTGATTTCATTTCAATCACATTCAGTACAAATCGATAAACGTAAAACCTCGACAAGCAAGAAAGGTTTGGATCAATATGTTCGCCTCGGTCGTCATATCTTATTTGAATCGTTTTTATCAGCAATTGTTGATATATCCACAGAACTCCCAAACCAAAACTATGTGGGATATCTTTAACACGAGGAGCCTAGGTGGGGTTGCTTAGACTGGTTATACAATTGAACTGACAATTTATATTTACTTGAACTGGGTCGATGTTTAAGCTGGTGGTCTGAAGTCCCCGAGGCCCATGTTACCAAAGAAAGGTTGGGCTGAGACGTGTTTTAGTAACAGGGAGTAAGCGAGTGAGTGAATGTGTAACTAGGGAGGGAGTGAATGTGTTACTAGGGAGGGAGTGAATGTGTTACTAGGGAGGGGTTGAATGTGTAACTAGGGAGGGAGTGAATGTGTTACTAGGGAGGGAGTGAATGTGTTACTAGGGAGGGAGTGAATGTGTTACTAGGGGGGGGAGTGTATGTGTTACTAGGGAGGGAGTGAATGTGTAACTAGGGAGGGAGTGAATGTGTTACTAGGGAGGGAGTGAATGTGTTACTAGGGAGGGAGTGAATGTGTAACTAGGGAGTGAGTGAATGTGTAACTAGGGAGGGAGTGAATGTGTAACCAGGGAATGAGTGACTGTGTAACTAGGGAGTGAGTGAATGTGTAACTAGGGAGGGTGTGAATGTGTAACTAGGGAGGGGGTGAATGTGTTACTAGGGAGGGAGTGAATGTGTAACTAGGGAGGGAGTGAATGTGTAACTTGGGAGGGAGTGAATGTGTTACTAGGGAGGGAGTGAATGTGTTACTAGGGAGGGGGTGAATGTGTTACTAACACGAGGAGCCTAGGTGGGGTTGCTTAGACTGGTTATACAATTGAACTGACAATTTATATTTACTTGAACTGGGTCGATGTTTAAGCTGGTGGTCTGAAGTCCCCGAGGCCCATGTTACCAAAGAAAGGTTGGGCTGAGACGTGTTTTAGTAACAGGGAGTAAGCGAGTGAGTGAATGTGTTACTAGGGAGGGAGTAAATGTGTTACTAGGGAGGGAGTGAATGTGTAACTAGGGAGAGAGTGAATGTGTTACTAGGGAGGGAGTGTATGCGTTACTAGGGAGGGAGTGAATGTGTAACTAGGGAGGGAGTGAATGTGTTACTAGGGAGGGAGTGAATGTGTTACTAGGGAGGGGGTGAATGTGTTACTAGGGAGGGAGTGAATGTGTAACTAGGGAGGGAGTGAATGTGTTACTAGGGAGTGAGTGAATATGTAACTAGCGAGTGGGTGAATATGTTACTAGGGAGGGAGTGAACGTGTTACTAGGGAGGGAGTAAATGTGTAACTAGGGTGGTAGTGAATGTGTAACTAGGGAGAATGTGAATGTGTTACTAGGGAGGGAGTGAATATGTAACTAGGTAGTGAGTGAATGTGTAACTAGGAAGGGAGTGAATGTGTAACAAGGTAGTGAGTGAATATGTCACTAGCGAGTGAGTGAATATGTTACTTGGGAGGGAGTCAATATGTAACTAGGGAGGGAGTGAACGTGTAACTAGGGAGTTAGTGAATGTGTAACTAGGGAGGATGTTAATGTGTTACAAGGGAGGGAGTGAATGTGTAACTAGGGAGGGAGTGAATATGTAACTAGGGAGGGAGTGAATATGTAACTAGGGAGGGTGTGAATATGTTACTTGGGAGGGAGTGAATGTGTAACTAGGGAGGGAGTGAATATGTAACTAGGGAGGGAGAGAATATGTAACTAGCGAGTGAGTGAATATGTTACTTGGGAGGGAGTGAATGTGTAACTAGGGAGGGAGTGAATGTGTAACTAGGGAGAGAGTGAATATGTAACTAGCGAGTGAGTGAATATGTTACTTGGGAGGGAGTGAATATGTAACTAGGGAGGGAGTGAATGTGTGACTAGGGAGGGGGTGAATGTGTAACTTGGGAGCGAGTGAATATGTAACTAGGGAGGGGGCGAATGTGTAGCAAGAGAGTGAGTGAAGGTGTAACTAAGGAGAGAGTGAATGTGTAACTAGGGAGGGAGAGAATATGTAACTAGGGAGGGCGTGAATATGGAACTTGGTAGTGAGTGAATGTGTAACTAGGGAGAGAGTGAATGTGTAACTAGGGAGGGAGTGAATGTGTAACTAGGGAGGGAGTGAATATGTAACTAGGGAGGGCGTGAATATGTAACTTGGAAGTGAGTGAATGT